TCTGTGGTCATGAAGTCTTTTGAAAAACTGGTGCTGGCCCACCTGAAGGACATCACTGGACCCTTGCTGGATCCTATTTAGTTTGCCTACAGAGCAAGCAGGTCTGTGGATGATGCAGTCAACATGGGACTGCATTATGTTCTGCAACATCTAGACAGACCAGGGACTTATGTGAGGATCCTGTTCGTGGACTTCAGCTCGGCCTTTAACACTATCATCCCAAAACCTGCTCCTGCCCAAACTTACTCAGCTCTTCGTGCCCACCTTCGTCTGTCAGTGGATCAACAGCTTCCTGACAGACAGGCAGCAGCTAGTGAGGCTGGGAAAATACACATCCAGCACCCGTATAATCAGCATGTTCTTTATCCACTGCTCTTCTCCCTGTACACCAACGACTGCACATCTTGCCAGCTGAGGAAGTTCAGCCTGTCACAGGAGCTGCTGAAACCATTCTACTCCGCCATCATTGAATCCATCCTCTGCACTTCAATAACTGTCTGGTTCAGCTCAGCTACCAAATCTGACCTCAGAAGACTACAGAGTGTAGTCCGGACTGCTGAGCGAATCATTGGTACAACCCTCCCTTCTCTCCAAGAACTGTACTTATCCAGAGTGAGTAAAAGGGCTGGCAAAATCACTCTGGAGCCCTCACATCCAGCACACTCCCTCTTTGAACTGTTGCCATCTGGTCGACGCTACAGAGCACTGAGCAGCAGAACGACCAGACACAGGAACAGTTTCTTCCCTCAGGCAATCCATCTCATGAACACTTAACAATAACTGTGGAACACACACTATTTATACACTTATTTATCTAACACTCATACTCAGTCTACACCTCAAATTTGCACATAATATACAGTACCTGTACATACAAAACTGTCTATTGTAATATACCTGCACATACAATACCTGCACATACAAGTCTGTGTTTTTTGTTCTGTCACTGTCATTCTGTTACACTGTGGAAGCTTATGTCACGAAAACAAATTCCTCGTATGTGTAAACATACCTGGCAATAAAGCTCATTCTGATTCTGATTCTTCTTCAAACAATTGGTCCACACTGAATGTGTGGTACTTGAATTGAATTGGTCCTTTTCACTGAATGTGAAAAGAGTGTCAGACGACACAGTGCCAATTTTGTTTAAGTTTTAGATAAAATGTTTTTTTTTGCTTAAGCATAAACCTGAAGAAACCATATCTGTGGTCAAGAGAAATATTAAAGGTGAGGGGGCATCTTAATTATGCGTTATGTGAGAATCAGACCCATAATCTGCATTTGGCTCATTTAAAATTCCAATTGGTTCGCCTTCAATGTAGACCAGCATGAAAATTTGAGTTAAAAGACTAACATTTGAAAAAAAAAAAAACCCTCAGTACTGTTTTAACTGATGTGTGTTACGTTTTATCAGCAGTGAATCACTTCCCATCATGCTTTTAGTTTGTGCAGCTGGTAAACTGTGCACACCTGCATCTTGACATCCTGACATCACAGCAAGTCAGAAAGTTTTTCTAACTGTCATTATCACCAGTGATCAGTTCTGTTCATCTCAAACCAGTCCGTTGTCAGTGTTATGATCCACTGGTTGAGATTAAGTTAAATTAACTTGTTTTGTTCTGTTTCTGCAGTTGCTTCTTCATCTGTGTGTTTGCAGTGCTGATAAACAAAGGTGAGTATCTGAACAAACTACATTTGAAAGATACATTCATGCAACAAACTGTTTACAATCATGCTTTTCTGTGATTTCAGTCTCTCTGCATGTCACAGTAGAGGCTGTTATTGGTGGTTCTGTTGTTCTGCCGTGTGAACATAATCATAAACTTAAAGATACTGATGTGCATTGGAGAGACAAAGACAGCAAGATTGTGTATGATATAATTAAGGGTGAAGATTCAGTAGCAGAACAAGACCCACGGTACAAGAACAGAGCTGAAACTTTCCCAAAGGAGTATCTGAGAGGAAACTTCTCCATCAAACTCAACTATCTTCAACACACTGATGCAGGAAAGTTCAACTGCTTCATCACACCCTCATCTGATCTTCACACTGTACATCTCATCATCAATGGTGTGTAAAAATAGTTTTTTTAATATACATTTTAAAGATAAAAAGAGTCTGAATTCCAGTCTGAATGCTACTGTATATAAATGACAGACACATCTGTTGTCTTTATCACAGTGCAGTGATTTTGTTTTTTATTATTCTGAATCAACAGCAGAAAAGGGAAATAAAACCACTGAACAAGAAAACCAAGGACCAGAAACACAGTCAGACTGGATGAAGATATTATTGATTTGTGTTTGTACTGTACTTGTAACTTGTACTGTAGCCTGTTTTATGTTTCACTGGAGAAAAAGGAGTTCAAGCTGCCTTAGAAGGAACAGTGGCACACTTGTAGTTACTTTTAGCTAAATTAGTACAGCTTTCATTGTTTCTTTGTGGTGCACACTACTGTTAAGGCATGTATTACAGTAAGTATTAAACTTTTTGTGCTGTTATACTCTTGCTGTTTTACACTAAATTGATAGAACAGAATGTGTGCTGCTTGTTCTTATTGTATAACAGAATGAGATCTTGAAACACTAAAACAGGAATGTGTTTTTTTTTTTGCTGACAATCCTGTCAATATGTTGCTGCCTTAACAATTCTGTACCACAAGTGTTCTTTCTTCATGTTGTGTTTTGCCAGAATAAAGCTTCATGGCAATGTAAAACTATTAAAAGAGTAAGCCTCTTTATTCAGATTAGGTTACTGAAACCATTAAAGGGGTCATATGATGTTGCTAAAAATAACATTATATTGTGTATTTGGTGTAATGAAATGTGTTTATGCGGTTTAAGGTTAAAAAAACACATTACTTTCCACATACTGTACATGATTGTTTCTCCTCTATGCCCCGCCTTTCTGAAACAGGTCGATTTTTACAAAGCTCATCAGTCTGAAAAGCGAGGTGTGCTGTGATTGGCCAGCTATCCAGTGCGTTGTGATTGGCCGAATACCTCAAGCATGTGACAGAAATGTTACGACCCTTACCATACTGTGATGCCCTGTCCGGCCGGAGCAACGAGACAAAAACAATAAAACCCATTATATGACGGATATTTGCATGACGAAGCGGATATCATTCTCTTTTGGAAGGCCAAACAAAGTAGTTTCACTTTCACAACGAAACACACAGCGCCTTCACGACATGAAGTGCTCGAAAATCTATTGCAAAATTCTCAAGTACATTCAGAGGAGCAAAGAGCCCTGTTTCAATGAATGTGGATGTAAAATGTAGTCTTGGGTCTCTTTGAGGGCCCAGTGAATGTCTTCATGGCCTCTAAAGGCCTCAGCTGTATCTCAGCTTAATGAGAACAGGCTTCAAAAGCAATCTGTCCATATAATAGACAAACAACATACACAATGCAATAATACAAAAGGTTCAGCTTGCGCACACAGGGGATTTATTGGATGAATTACAATATCTCACAGAAGTGAGTACACCCCTCACATTTTTGTAAATATTTTATTGTATCTTTTCATGTGACAACACTGAAGAAATGACACTTTGTTACAGTGTAAAGTAGTGAGTGTACAGCTGGTATAACAGTGTAAATTTCAACCCAGTCTCATAAAAATACGTACCTCTGCGTACATTTCTGCAACACCGTTTTTACGTACCTTACTGCATGTTTCGCCGCAGTTTCAAAGAGAAATGTCCACTGAGTGGCGCTAAAACACGGGTTCAATACGTGAACCCTGGTACGTTTTTATGACGTTGATATAGGTACGTATTGCTGTGTTTTTATTACGTTTCTTCAGGTACGTATTGCGGCGATTCAGAATTCAAATATCCGGGGACCATGGTCGACCAAAGAAGTTGAGTGCACGTGCTCTGCGTCATATCCAGAGGTTGTGTTTGGGAAATAGATGTATGAGTGTTGCCAGCATTGCTGCAGAGGTTGAAGGGGTGGGGGGTCAGCCTGTCAGTGCTCAGACCATACAGAAGGAAACCTCTTCTAAAGATGATGCACAAGAAAGCCCGCAAACAGTTTGCTGAAGACAAGCAGACTAAGGACATGGATTACTGGAACCATGTCCTGTGGTCTGATGAGACCAAGATAAACTTATTTGGTTCAGATGGTGTCAAGCGTGTG